GGGGGGGGGGGGGGGGGTGTTTTTGGTAGGAAAGGAGGCGCTATTGCAGGTTTGGGACTGGAGGAGCCGCAGACTAGCCCCTGGCACATGGCGTCGGCCCGGCCAGCTGGCCTTGCTCTGGGTGTCGCTCCTCCAGACAAGCCTTCCCTGAGCCCAGCTCCCAAGACACATTCCCCCATGTCTGTGTTGGCCCCTAGTTTGGGCTCCTAGTGAAGAAGGGGGATCTGGGAAGTTCCTGGATGCACTCCCCCGTGCACCTGGAGAAGCCCGGACCCTGTGGGGAGGGCGGGGGAAGGCCACTTCCTGGGAGGGCGCGTCCCCGGAGTGCTGCCCTGTGTGGGAGGAGAGGCTGAGGAGCGGGGCTGGCTACCTGAGCATCTTCCCACCTGGGCTTTCCCAGAACTGGAGGTGAGGGCTGGCCTCGAGGGGCCGGTGGGTTTGGAATGGAAGCCAGCTGCCTGCGAAAGAAACAGGCTCGGCTCAGGAGGGGAGAGCCGGCCTCTCGGGCCATTCCAGCAGCCGCGGGTCTTTCTTGGGGGAAGGGGCAGGAGGAACGACCACCTCAGGCAAGCCTTCCTCCTGGGCCGGAGCTGCGTGCAGAAGGTGGGAGCGCTGTGCCTGCTTTTTAGATTTATGGGCCCAGCTGGGAAGAGGTGTCCCTGGTGACAGCCTCTCCTGGCCCAGTAGTCATATTAAACCTTTCTTACATCTCACTGGCCTCTTACCATCCCCAAGGCGGGGATGGAGTGTTGCCTGTGGCTCACCAGCATTCTCAAGAGAGCCAGCCCTCGGCCAGCAGTTTCTGGACCTCTCTGCCCATGAGCATCGCAGCTCGGGCGTCCCCTCGGGCAGGGACAGCGCTCTGGCCTGTGAGGTCACTTTGCAGGACCAAGACTTTTTCCCTGCGAGCCTGGCCCACCCGGGTGGTGGTATGACAGCCACTTACTCTTTTCTCTGCAAGTTGGCATTGGTGGCTGGGCAGACTGTGCTAAGGCTCGGGAAGCGGTTTATTGCCACTTTTATGAGTTAGTCCTCAAGTTGTAACTGAGTGAACGGTCCTCATCTCATAGATGGAAACATGGGTTCGAGGTGGGGAGAAGGGGGCCTTTGGAAGCTTCTGGGCCTGGGAAGCCTGGGGCTGGGCTGCGAGTGGAGGGGGGATGTTCTGGCGGATGGACCAGGCTGCCTTTAAGGCCTCCTTTATGCCTGGCTGATGGGCGGGGGCTTGAGCTCTCCCAGGCAGGCCCCTAACGGTGACGAGGACAGTGATGACACTGGTCTTCATGGGCTGAGCCAGGAGGGCGCAGGGCAACACAGGGAAAATGGTCAATTCGCGCTAGTTTCCTTCCGTCTCTTGAAAACTAGCTCCTGACTGCCTCAGGGAGCTCAAGTTCACCGAGTGCGTCCCCTGCGGCCGCCCTGAGCGTCCCTGCCACTTCTCTGGGGCTCCAGGAGCAAACTGCAGGGCTGAGCATGTCCGGCCTTTGGGGACACTACACTAACGCTCCTCTCCCAGTTGCTTTCCCCGGAGTAAGGGGAGGGCTGTCCTGGGATGGACACACTGCCTCTTGGCCTCCTTCGCCAGGGGGGTCGGCCTGCCAGATGCTCTCAGAACCCAAGGTGGACCTCGAAGGCCGGACCGACCAGCGAAGGCTGGACCTACCGGTGAAGGCTGGACCAGCCCGCGTGCTCCTGCCCGCCCTGAGCTGTGAACGGTGGGGGGGCGGGGCGTGTGCTAATCTAAGCTGCGCTCGGAGCTGGTGAGCTGGCGTGGTGCCTCCTCAGGCTGCAAGCTCGGCCGTGTCTCATGACAAAGCCCAGCTCTCTGATCTGGGTGTCAGTGAGGCTGAAGGAGGGTTAAAAATACTTAGCAGGAGACGAGCGCAGGGGACGGGCCTGGAGGCCGCCAGCACCCAGCGATAGGGTGAGTGGTGGCTGAGGTGGTTGCTATGGAGAAAGTGAGGTGAGAAGGGGTGAGAGGACCACTTCAACTTAACAGACAGTGTTTGGGGGTGATAGGGATGGGGTGGAAGAATGGGGGTGATGAAGATACTGGGGTGACTGTGATTTCGCTCCCTGTAAAGTGGAAAGCAAATTCAGCTCTCATTTCTCTTGTCTGTGGCCAATGCCACACATTCTTCAATGTCTTCTTGCTTTGGGGGGACTGAGCGCCTCTGCGCCCCAGTCAGTTAAGATGGTTACAAAACCTGAATGGGCTGCGGGAGGGGAGGCAGTGGGGGTCAGTGGGGAGCTGGCTTAGCAGGAGGCAGGGGGACTTGGGCCCGGGCAGTGAGTGTTCTTACAGGAGGCCCAGGCTTCCTTCCGGGGTGTGCCGCCTGCATTTCCATAGCGGACTGGGAGGGGGGTCACGAGGCTGTTCTTAATGATGTGAGGAGCCCTTCGGAAGTAAGGGTCCCCTGGCCTCATGGGCCACATTTCCCTGGAGGGGACTCCAGAGAGCCACAGTGCTTTGCTGCTTCTTAAATGTGAAGGCGGTGTGTGTGTGTGGGGGGGGGGGGGGGAAGGCTTTAAAACCTGCCGTTTTCTGCCCGGCCAGTATGGCTCAGTGGTTGAGTGTCGACCTGTGAACCAGGAGGTCACGGTTCGATTCCTGGTCAGGGCACATTCCCCAGGTTTCAGACTCGATCCCCAGTGGGGGGCGTGCAGGAGGCAGCCAATCCATGGTTCTCTCTCATCATTCATGTTTCTCTCTCTCTCCCTCTCCCTTCCTCTCTGAAATCAATAAATAGATATTAAAACAACAACAACAACAAAACCACAAAAAACCCCCCACAAGACTTTTCTCCAAAAAGACAGCCTCCTCGGCTCCGGGAACATATGACAGGCTTACAGACTAGCTCCCCGCCATCCATGCTCGGGCCAACATGCTGTCTCTATGGAATGCGGGTTCAGGACAAATGAACTCCCCAAGTTCCTCAGCCACACAGTGCCAGCATCTCCCGGGGTGTCTAGAAGGAAGGGCCGTCACAGCGCTCTCCTGGGGTCACGGGGATGCATTTGAGAAAAGGGGAAACCCAGGCCACAAGGGGGACCAGTGTACCTCTGGCAGGCCCAGTGCGGGGAGAGCGGGCCAGGAGCAAGGAGGTTTGGGCGTCTGTTCTGACAGCTGGCTTCAGGCATGCATCTCACCAAGTCCCCAGTTGGAAAGTAGAATCAAATCTCAGAGGGAGGCCTTTAAACCCTTGGCTTCACTCCTCCGCGGCTACATGGGGACCGTAAGCTGTCATGTTGGGAAAGATAGCTGAGAGGATCCAGGGAAAGTCCCTGGCCCCGGGCCTGGCCTGCTCAAAAGCCGATTTTATATCATTCTAGTTGTTACTGTTGATGCCGTTGCTGCTCGGCTTCTGCACAGGTGTTTGGGAGAATAAAAAGAATTTCTCAAGCCTTAGTGTAACTCGGAGAGAAGCATCCTTGTTTTGCTCTTGTCAGGAGCTGCCCGTGGAGAGATCCAAGGTGACTCTCACAATTCGAACACTCACCCGGGTGTGGCAAGATACCTAGATCCTCGTGACCAAGCGGAAAGTGACAGGAGGGTGTTGTCCCCCAGATCTAAGTGGTGTGGGTGGGGTGGGGAGCAGCCTGTTGAGAGACAGGCCGGGGGAAGGCATGCCACGGACCAAGGAGCAAGAGTTCATGAAATCCTACTGACTCGGCCCAGCGAGTCACTGTGCAAAGAGCAGCGGCACCGATGGGTCCGGGGCTGCTGAGCTAGGAGCTCGCTTTCTGGGCTCATTCCCGGAGGAAGGAGCCACGTCACTCAGGGGCCACGGGCCACGCTTCAGGCTCGCACAGCCCCGTCGCCCCAGGCTTCACCGCTCTGCAAGGGTTCGGATCCTAGCAATGGCATGTTTTTTCAGGAGTGAGATTTCCGGGGTTTATTACTGAATTTCAAGCCTTTGAATAAGTCAGTCTGTGTTTCCTCGCTTTGGCAGAAAGGTGTTTGGCTGATTAGAGTTTTTGACATTTGTTTTGCATTTTCCCTGGGAGGGCATTCATGTGCTTAGAGAAGGTGAGCTGGACTTTCTAAGGGCGAGGAGAGAGATGGAGGCAGGAAAAGAAAAGCTACTGCTCCCGGCACGTGGCCTGGAAGAGTGTAGTGTTGGGAGCCGGACTGCCTGGCTCGAATCCCGGCTTTGCCTCTCACTGCCTGTGACCTTTCCTTCCGTGAATCTCAGTTTTCTCATCTGTGAAATGGGCACGAGAATGGTTCCAGAACAGGGCTATTGTGAGGATCAAGTGAGAAGTTCACGGAAAGCGCTGAGCCCCATGCCTGGCCCTCGGAAAAAGCTGGGCAGGTGGTATTCGCTGCAGGGGGTGGGGGGGGGGGCTGCCGGGGCACCCACGGAGCTACCGGGGATACTCAGAGACCCCGTGGGTCCTGGCCGAGGGGAAGACGAAGGGCATTTCTGAATCCCACCCATTTCGTGCTTAGGAAAAGAGCTTCCTGTTTCTATTGCTTATGATTCTGAAACCGATGGTGCCAATTTCTTGCGCTTTTCCTGAAGGTCAACAGGAAAGGCAGTCCCAGGGGAGCCGGGCAGCTTTCAGAGGTAAACGCACCCCCGCCCCCGCCCCATCCGGTGGGAGAGGCCGGCCCTGCACAGGCCCAGACCCCAGGGCCACTCACTCGCGCAGCAGCAGGTCCTTGAAGTGGATCATCTCCACCATCACGCGGGTGTTGTCGCGGGCGGCCGCGCACAGGTCGTGCTTGAGGTAGCATTCCCGCTGCAGCTGCAGCACCATCTCCCTGATGGCCGGGCACTTCCGGCTGATGCAGCCGAACCTGTGCCGCAGGGCGTGGGCCTTACAGCGCAGGGCGTCTTTGATGAAGGACTTGCCCTGAGGGTGGAGAACAGAGGGGAGAGGGGGCGGGAGACAGGAGTCGGACAGGGGCCCTCTGGGGCTCACCCAGAGCTTTCTGACAACTGAACCCCCAGGCCCGGCTGCGGACGGACACCCTTGCAGGTGACAGGCTGGTGCTTCATCTGAGGTGTGTCCGGAGTGACGGGATACCTCTGGCATCTGGCCAGAGAGGCTGCCACTTGGGGAGACTCACAGGTCTGCCTCCTACCAGCATCCCTCGTGCTGGGGCTGCCGTGGCCACCTGTCCCCAAGGCAGACAGACCAGGCCGGCTGCTTTGTGGCAACTTTTCAGAGTCACAAGGGGACAGAAATCCCAAACTCCTTGGTGGTTCCCAGCAGCGTTTTCCCCAAGTAGAAGGTGCCTGCTTGTCCAAACCTCCCGCCGCCCCTCTGTCCTCTGAGCCCAGGAGTGACACCGAGGTGGGCCGCCGACTGGGCCTGTCCTGCCGCAGTGCCTCCCAGCACCCCAGCGCGCACTCTCGTCTCCCCGTTCTGGAAGGAGGAGCCCTCTTTTCCTCTTTGAAAGTGATTGACTCCTTTAAGCTGTTAGGATGGCTGCCTCTGAAGGCCCGCCTGGCACCGGGCCTGGTAGCGTCTGGCCCCGCGGCAGCCCCTCCCCCGGCCCGGCCTCGGAGAGGCGCAGGCAGCCAGGCATACATCTGGCCCGCACTTCTCTTTCCTGGCAACCCGGGAGGTTGCTCTCATCCTAGAAAGGAGACAGCTGTTGGGGGTGTGGAGGCGAGCCGGGCTGCAAGTTAGCTCCCTTACCAACCTCGGGGGCAGAGAGGCATTGTGGGATACCCACCCCACAATTACTATAGAAACGAGCTGTCCTTGGAGAGGTCACCCTGTTTTTAGACAGGCCCGGAAGGAGCGGAGTTGGGAAAGGAACCGGGTTTAGGTTGGGATTGGGAAGCCAGCCAGCACGGTTATTCCGGTTCTCTCCCTCAGAAGCCATCGAAATGTCTATGGATAGTGTCTAGTCACCCCGTCGGCCCCCCTCTCCCCTAACGCTCAGGGGGAGTCCAGTAGGATGGAGGGTAGGGCGTGCCAGCTCATGAAGTCCTTAGGCATCGAGAAGGGACTTGAAAGGGATGCTTCTAACCTGAGAACATACTCCTGTTGGAGAATCAAAGGGAAGATTAATTTATGCGAGTGCTGCGGCAATCTGCTCTCCGTATTCCTCCCTGACATCCCGTGGGATGGCCCTGCAACACAGGTCGTTCCTCCGGATTTCCCACTGCGTTTCCTAGTCCCAGTGAACCCGGCAGGGCCGCGTTAGCGGGGAGCCTCAAGGAGCCCAGAGGCACAGCCTCGTCGCTGCGGCGGTTTCTGTTTCCCCTCCGCCACCCCACATCCTCCGCGGGGTGGGCTGCAGCCGGCCGCATCCCTTTCTGGTTCCCAGGCATGGCTTTGTCAGGCTCTCCACAGGATGTCAGTGGATGGTGACTGGCGATGTTCATAAATCACCCCGAAACTGCTGGCCTCCTCCAAACGCTGTCATCACCCTCCGGGGAAGTGGGAGAGGAGGTTTAGGAGAGAGAATGACAGAGGGTTTCACGGGGGGTCTAGAGCAGGGTGGGGAACCTTTTTCCTGCCAAGGGCCATTGGGGTATTTATAACATCATTCGAGGGCCATACAAAATTGTCACCTTAAAAACTAGTCGGCTGTATTTGGTCAAACATTTAGTTAACTCACCCCTAATGCCTTGGCAGGGCCAGACCAAATGATTTCCCGGGCCTTATACGGCCCGCGGGCCGGACGTTCCCCACCCCTGGTCTATAGGCCAGCGAGGACACGAAGAAGGTGAGCCTCACGCCATCTGAAATGTATTCGGGTGGTCAGCACTGGAGCCCTCGGGTTGCTTGCGGGTTCTTTTCCCGCCCCACGCGACTGGGTTTGCCCTTGGGAGCCTGGCACCACCTAAGTGGGTCAGGCCCTGCCTATATTTATTATATAGAGCAAAACACCGTGTAGCATTACCAGCCTCACTCGGGGTTCTGACTTTTCAGGTTGGGGAGGAGGGGCTGCTGCTTAGGAGGAAGGTAAGCCTGCGGTTCTGGGGGCCCCGACTTCTCCATGCTGCCTGCTCACACACCCACTGGGGGAGGGTGGGTTTCTCCCAGCGCTGTGTCTCCCTATCCTTGCCCGTTGGGGAGAATAGCGTTTGGAATATATAATTGACGTCTCTGCCCTTCCCCCCTCAACCTCGCGCTCCTAACGTGATGGGCCTTGCAGAGCAGGTCCTGGGTGGCCTGAAACAGTCCCCTTACAGCGTTTATCATGGCCTTTGTCTTCTTGGCTAAGACTCCTCAGGTAATTGTTCAACGCGGCCTCCACGCCGCGTTGCCTGTGCAGACACAGGTTAAAAGTGGGGAAGGATTTAGCCTAGATGACAGCTCCAGATGCACAGGGCAGGAGTGGGAGACACTGCCCCCCTCTTCTCCCCCCCCCCCGCTCCCCCGCCGTTCCACCTAGAATGCCGCTTGCAGGTGATATAACGCACCACGGCCGAGCAGCTCAGGAAATCTGTTGTCAGGTCTTTCCAGTCACCATGTCATTCATGCTACCCCCAACCCCAGACATTCCCCGGGCTCTATATGGTGTTTACCTGGGCGTCAAATTTTCCAGCGTTGTGCAGGAAAGTCATGCAAATCCCATGCAAGCCCCGGATCTCACACGAGTTGTTCTCGAAACACTCAAACACGCCACAGCCCACATCGCCAGCGCTGACCAGGCAGTGCTGGATTTCCGCTGAAATGAGAGTTACACACAGAGCTATACAAAATCCTCAGCCCTGCTGCGGAATGCAGGAGGTTAGCTGAAATAAAAGTAACGACAAAAAAAAATTAAGGGGGGAAAAAAGTTAGAATGAATATCTCAGGATCTAAAAAGCCAGGGAAAGAAAATGTCACCATTTATTCTACTTATGAAAAATAGCCGTAGTTGTAAATATTTGTAAAAAATTAGCCAAACCTACGTTACAAAGACCACCACCTCATTTTTCTTCCTCCCCATCTTATTAAAGCGCTTGTGGGAGCTCGTAGCTTGAGAACAGAAGACAGTTCAGCTTTCCAAAGCCACAAAGTCTGATTTTAAATGATTAGCTTGCCCCTCTGTAGGCCATCAATGAAATGCCCTTCTCTACTTGGAGCTGGAAGCTGCTGCTATTGAATCCCAGTCATTTCCTTCCTGACCCCCAGATGCGAGCGTCCAGGGAGCACTTTCAATTCAGCCTTATGATTCAACACCTAAAAATCAAGACAAAGCTCCTATGAAGGCAGCGCCTCTGACCATGGCCTTAAGAACACCAGCCGCGGGAAACGGGTTTCGGAGCAGGCTGACATGGGGCAGAGTCAGATGGGGGCTGGCCTGCAGAAGCCCAACCTAGTAGTCAGAGCCTCCTTGTATTTATTTACTTTTTATATATTTTTATTGATTTCAGAGAGCGAGGGAGAAGGAGGGGAACATCAATGATGAGAGAGAATTGTTGATGGGCAGCAAGGGCCAGAGACTCCTTTTAAATAGAGATCCGGTTGAGATGCCACTTAATCCCCTAGAATCCTAGAGACTTGGTTTGCTGCCCTCCTTCGCAAAATGTGGCTCTAATTCCTCCCCCTGACAGGACAGATCCGAGGGAGTTAGCTGCCCTGCCACGCTTCTGTCCCCCCACCCCCGGAATTGCACGTCTTTAACCACAAAATTGCATCCAAAAAGTGTATTTTGGAGGAAGGAAGGGGTAGGAGTAGATAATCCGCATTCAGTGTAAAGCTACCGAGAGAAGGAGGGGCGTGTATTTGTTGAGAGTCACCAACTCCAGAGATTACGTTCAGTTTTCAGGGGAAGAGCTGGCGAGGGGGGAAGGGTGGGCGAGGGTCCCGGGAGGGGCGGGTGATCCCTCCCACGCGCCAGGCAGGAGCTCGCAGGGCCGGAGGCCGCTCGCTCGGGAGTTCCGGAGTTCCTGATGGGCACGCGTGCATTTCTGCTCGTGCGGGGAGCGCACGCCCGTCGCTGCCGGGTTCGCAGGTCCCTGAGGAAGGGGGAGCCGCCTGCAGCCTAGGAGACGCGGGCAGATTTCCTTTCTCTCCGGGAGCTGGGAAAGGGCCAGCCCCGTGCCCTGCACGCCGGGCTCTGCTCGGCAGCCGGGGAGCCCAGAGCCGGCTGAGCTGGGGCGGCGCACCGTGGGGCCGGGTCACCATTTCTTGCTGACCTGCCCCAGACAGGGCCGGTGGCCGCAGAAGTCTGCTCTGCACTACCCACCCCCCCTTCCGAAAGCAACGCGCCCCCCTCTCCCCGCCCCCAAGGAAAGTTCGCCAAGCAACATCTTGCCTACAAAGTTCTCGGATGTCGGGCATCTTTTGAGGAGGGGGGAGCCGTCCGGCCAGATGGGAGAGAAGTTCTCCCGGTGCAGCGGGCAGCCCGGCTCGGGACCCTCCGTGCCTCCCGCGGGGCGGCCGGGGCGGAGCAGGAAGCTTTGCATCAGCCAGGGGAGCCCGGGGTCGGCACCGGCCGTGCCAGGCGCTGCCTCGGTTACCCTCGGCCCGGGGAGGGCAGACAGCAACAAGTCCTGCCCCGGCGATTTCATCACCCGTCAGCACGTGCGGATTCCGGGCGTGCGGAGCCGGGCGCGGACCTGCCTCACCTCACGCTCTCCTTTGCCCGCCCCGCGCCGCCCCGGGAGTTTGGCACGGCCCTAGGTGGGCGCCCCGTGCCGGGCGAAGCAGCATTGGAGCGCTGCGGGGGTGCCTGGTGGGGTCCCCCAGCAACCCCCCGCCACGGGGGCGCACGTCCTTACCTGTGTTCTGCAGGGACAGGCGGCCTTTCTGCTGGGAGCCTCTGTCCTGCGGCCCCTCGGGCGGGTGGGTCGCGTCGGTGCCCCGCGCCGGGTCAAAGGTGGCCAGCACCAAAGCCAGGGTCACGAACTGGCCCAGCCGCTCGGCACACATCGTCCTCGGGGTAAACCTCCCGGCCGGAGACCTGGGATCTTTGTGCTCCCCTCCCCCCCTTCCTCCTCCTTCGCCGCTTCCCCTCCTCCTCCCACTTTCCCTGCTCGCTCGCCTTCTCCCTCCTCCTCGCGGCCGAGGCTGGATAGAGGTTACCCGGCGCCCTCCCGGAGCTCCCCGGAGAGCATGTGACCAGGCCGCCAGCAGCGCCGCGAGTGCCCGGCGACGGCAGGGATGGTGCCTCAAATATCCCTGGAAGCTCTGGTGTCACTTGAATGAAGGAGTCGAGCAGGTGTTGTCCCGGCCGCTGGACCAATCCGAGACCCCGGCCCGTTTGACAACACGGCCGGGGGGCGGGGCCTGCGCCCAACTACTCCGCGCCGAGCTCCGCGGGGTGCGCCCCACAAAGTTGCGGACCTGCTGGCCGACACGCGTGTGCGTGCGTGCGTGCGTGTGTGTGAGTGCGGTGAGCGCGGCCCGGGAGGCGTGCGCGTGTGCGGGGGCTCCGGGGCAATGGCCGCACCGGCTTAAAGACAAAAGCGAATCGCAGCTCCGGTGGCAACTAAAGAGGCGAGAGGGAGGGTCTGCCCTGGGACGGCGTCCCCCGGGCCCGGCTGGCTGCACACCCGCACCGGACCCGCCAAGTTTCCTCTCCCCGCCGTGTGAGCGGGAGACCCAGCCCCCAGCGCTGGGCAGACCGGAGGAGTTTCCTGGACCCCGGGATGCCAAGGGCAGACTGAGCACATATGGGAACTCCTGGCGTTGCGGCGCTTTGCGTTAAAAACCCCTCAAACTATTTAAGAGCAGAAGCACTAGGTGTAGGACTTGGCCCGAGCCACCGCCCAGCTCTCCCCGTTCTTCCTGGCCCGCGTGGTGGGTCGTGCCACACGGAGGGCGCTGCTTTCTCGCCTCTCCCCACTCCGGCTCGGCTGCGGGGACCCAGGTGACAGACGGGACTTGCATGGCTTCCACGTCGGCGGCAGGGAGGCCCAGGCGGCTCTGAGTTCGCCCCGCGGAGCATCGCTCGCCCTGGAGGTCGGAGCTTGAAAGGCAACTTTACTTGTCTCCAAACACTTCCATTTTCCCCCAGCGCTACTCACCACCCCGCTCCGGGTTCCCTGGACTCTCCGGCCATCTCATGGAAATGGTTAAAAAAAAAAATCCCCACCCCCAACGAAACCCATGAAAATTCTCCCCATCTTCTCTTTTCCTGTTAGAGCTCTCTCCCCAAGCACGCCCGCCCCTCGCCCCCCCCCCCCACCCCTCCGCCTTCTCCAGGGGCGCACGGCAGCAGGGAGAAGTTGGGCGCCTCGGAGCCTCTGCCCCCACCGTGTGTGTACGTGTGCCCGCTCACGTCTCCCGGCGCCGGGCCGGGACAGGAACGCTCCGGGCCCGGCAGTCCGATGGCGCAGCTGGGGGGCGCGCAGGGCTGGGGGAGGTGCCGCCCCGCCCTCCTGCCGGAGAACAGGTGAGCCCGGGTCCCAGCTCCCACCCCCTCCCCCGCCCGCCTCCCAGCCCGCGCCCTCTGCGGTAATGCGCCCGGGAGGTTTCATCACTCACCGCCCACGGCGCCTCGTCCCTGGGTCTCCACGGCAGGACGCACTGCGCGCCTCTTTGGGGCCGCCATGTGACGCGGTTGGGGGAGGGGGTGCGGAGACGTGCAGGCCGGGTCGTCCTCCTGGGCGCTGTGCCGCTGCCAGAGCTCCCCACCCAGGGTCCCGGCTGTGCTCTGGCATAGGCGAGGCAGAGGCGGGGGAGGGAGAGGGGGAGCAGGGGTGGCCCCCCGCTGGCTGCAGCTGACCAGCAAGTCCAGTGGCCCTGAATCGGGAGGAAGGAGAGGAGGGGGTGGGGAAGGCCCCTTCTGAATGGGCTCTCCCCGGGGGCTGCAGCGTCAGGAGCCACTGTCCACCACCCCTGCCCTACTTTCCGAGTCCCAATGAATGGTCACTTTGAAGGTCCGAGTCTGCAGCTGTGGCAAGAACTGACCACTCATGCCCATGATTCCAGTAGCAGTGCCTTCCTGCAGCCTCAGATCTTCTGTGGAAGCAGGTGGGGTACAGTACATGAACACAGGTGGTTCGCTTTGCTAACCTGCTTTTGTTGAGCACTGTTGGCATTAAAAACGGCATCTGGTCACCTGGTTCTCTGAGCAACAGCAATAGGAGAGGTCCAGACTGCGGGAGCCAGGCCACCTTCGCGGGATGCGGGCACTCGCGTCTACTTGATGGAGGGTGCTGGGGTACCTGGAGGCCTGGGCTCCTGCTTCCTCATGGCCTTCGCTCTGTACTGTCTTTGCCACCACGATGTCCTACGGCTGCCCTCAGAGTGAAAACATTCATCTCGAGGCAGTTTGCCCAGCCTCCCAGGGGACAGTTGTGTCTCCCACCTGAGCCACCTGCCCCTTTAGAAGTAAAAGACGAACGCCAGCTAGCCTTCGAGGTGTCGCAAGAATAGGCGCTAGTTCCTAAGGTTTTCTCCCCAGGCCACTTGGCCAGGGCCTGACATGCAGAGGAGAATACCCATCCCAGTCAGTCCCGTGGGAGCAGAGAACGTGCTGTGGAATCAGTGGGCCGTTTGCTGGGATTACCAGTCTAGGCCCCAGGCCCAGAATGGTGAACGGGTCATGATCTCCCCTCCCCATTCTTTCAGCTCTGTAACTCAGGCCTGGGTTGGCAGAGAGTGGCTGATGAGAGTGGGAGTGGAGAGGGGACAGGAACAACAGTAACACTGTAGTTATTCCAAAGCAAACGCGAATTGAGAACAGACACTGTGCCACACACGGCGCTTCGGGCTCTGGTGTCCGCCCTCGATGGGAATCGGGACTTGGGAGGAGCCGGGCCAGACCAGCTGGTGCTGCCCGGAGATTCAGCAGGGAGTCTGCCGGGATCAGCCCTCCTCAGTGTAAGACCCAACCAGCCTCCTGACACCCCAGGGCTTCTGTGGCTGATGCGTGGGACCCACGCATTGCTCGCTAACTCCGATTCACCAGTTAAAATCAGGCACTTCAGGAGTAGAGGGGACTTGGGCGGGACTTGGGAAGGCAAGGGGATACTGACAAGGAGGGGTAGGGAAAGAGAGGGGGCATCCCAGGAGGCAGGACCAGCAGGGATCAATGCTGGAGGGGAGATGGGGGGCTTGTGTCTGGAATAGGGTTGTTGACTTTGGTGTTAAACTGGAAGGCAAGGTGGGCAAGGGCGTCCGGGGCCCTGCTGTCAGGGCCTTTGGGACAGACCTGTGCTCACCATGCAAGACCTTGTCCTCATCATGACGGCATTTAAGGGGACGGCAGGGGCTCTTAGCTCGGGTTCCTTCTGGAATCAGGAAACGTGCTGACGTCGGAAGGATACGGAGGAGAGGAATGAGGTCTTCATCTGGACTCCATGTGGGTTGGGATCCTCGACGGCACAGAAGGTGCTCTTGCTCGGGCGTGAGCAGGTGGGGCCGTGGAGGATGCGGCAGTTGTGGGAGGGAGGCAATGACGTGTAGGTTGATCTGTGCTGCCTAGTGCAGGTTTTCTGTGAGTTCTCAGCCTGGGTGGGTAACGTGGCTTCCACGTGGAGCGTGCCTCCTACTGCAGGCCCTGCCCCCTTGGGGTGACTGTCTGGGCTGATGGCACCACCTCATGGTCAGCGAGGGAACTGTCTGACCAAACAGTGGACTCTCCTCTCTCCCTGACTCCAGGGCCTGGGGCACTAATATTGGGTCTCCTGCCTTCTCCTCGATTGTCTTAGCGAATCAGTCCATGCTGATTTAGGCAGACTTCTCACAACCACGCGATGTAATCGCCCATCCGGGAAATCCCTGTCCACCTTTTTTGCTTTTTCTCCCCATTCTTTGCTACCTTCCCAGGTGAGCCCCCAATCTACCCTCCTCACGGCTCCTTTGCATCACGCCGGTGTGGAGGGGATGAGGAAAGGCATCCCCGTGAAATTGGAAAAGACAGAAGAGCCCACTGCTGTGATAGGCTCCAGGCTTCTTGAAAGCCTATGAGGTCCCCACCTTCCCCCTCTGTCTTCTTTCATTAAACCGGCGGTTCATGAGATGGAATTCAGGAGGAAGAGGGTGTGTTCAGTGTGCGGGCACGTTGGTCAGGGCCGCGACAACATCGCTTCCTACCAGCGTTGACTGTGCGAGTCCAGGGCGTCGACAACACCCTGAGCGGGGAAGGCCGCTGTCGGGCTGGGCTGCTGGGGAAGGCTCATCACTTACCATGTTGCTCATCGGAGGGAGCTATATTCCGAGTTTCCCCAGAGGGCCGACTCCCAGCGTTTGGGAACCACCACCTCTGTGAACTGACCCCTCCCTCTGCGTCAGCGATGAATAGTCAAACGGTCTCCCTGGACGGATTGAAAACACGAAAGGTGAGAAAGATTTGTAAAAACCCCAGGAGAAGGGAGCTCCGTCTGCTCGCAATGCTTCCATTTGCTGGGAGAGTGAAGCAGCTGCAGACACGGGGCATCTGGCTGTGGTCTGAGTTTTGTCCGTGCCTCGCTCCGAGGCCGCACAGCACTCCAGAGGCCTCCCGTGCTCCCGGGTCCTCAGTCTGGTCTCCTCACCGTGTGTGGAGTGGAACTCCTGCAGGGAGATGCCCCGGGCGGGCGGGGCGCCTGGTCCCCATGGTGGCGGAGGGCGGGGGTGGTGGTTAGGGGTAGGGAGACGTGGGTGGGCCATGTGGTGTTGGAATGCGGTGCAGCTCTCTGTGACAGGTCAAGTTTGATCGGAGAACTGTTGGATTTCAAGTGGATGAAGGAAGAGCCGCCTTGTGGGGCGGTTTTTCCAATTTTGAAAATCTTCCACGAAATCACCAAATCTATGGACGGACTTAACCGGCCCCGTGGATGGAACTGTCCGACCACATCTTCGTGGACTCCCATCTTAGTTTTGTTTTCCGACCCCAATCTTAGTGTTTTCTTCGTTCTGAGAAGTTCCCATTATTCGTAAAGGTTGAGATTTCCTGACTTCTCTCCTTTTAAAAAGAAATCGCCCAAAGATCAAAGAAACGTTTATTCTTTAACAAAAACAGAATGAAGCTCATCCTCTCTGGAATTTGCCACATGGGACCATTGGAACCACTTATAAATCTAAGATTTTTCATGGGGTTTTAGTCATCTCATTTTTCTTATTTCCTTGAAACAGTTTTCATTTTGTCATCGTAGGAATTATTTTATTATTCATCAATTATTGCCAATTATGCTAGAACATTAAAATAATAAGAAATGGAGGGATGCTGGAGGATCCTTTCGTTTTCTTGTTCATTGCTGAGAGTATCATGGCGTCTTTCAAGAAGGTATAAAAGAAGCCACAGGGCCCGCTCAGTGGTTGAGTGTTGACCTGTGAAGCAGGAGGTCACAGTTCAATTCCCAGTCAGAGACATGCCTGGGTTGCAGGTTTGATCCCCAGTAGGGGGCGTGCAGGAGGCAACTGATCAGTGAGTCTCATCATTGATGTCTCTCTCTCTCTCTCCCTCTCCCTTTAAGAAAAGAAGGCATAGGACACCATCTTTGTAGTTTTAGTATTGCTTTCATTGCAGACAGTTGAGAAGATAGACATTTTTATTTCCTGCACAAAATGGAAAAGAAAATTGGCACAGGAAAATGTTTGACTGTAGGTAGCCAATCAGAGGAGACAGCAGAGAGGCTGACTCTGAAGAGAACAGTAAAATGGGTTTCATAAGTCAAATCTCAGGCTGTGAGCCTCACAAGACAATGATCTGGCTGAATTTCCTCAAGGACTCCAGAATCGATGAATAAACAACATGTTTCTGGGGAGAAAAAGAAAGTAGGGTTTTCTCATCCAGTTCAACAAAAAGGATTTTACCAGTTACTATTTTACAACAACAACCTGGATCATCCTGCTCTGCTGAAGGAACGGGGCCAGTGTTCTTGTAGCTTCAGATGAAGTCAGACGTGTTTACACAGGTGATCAAAGGGAAACAGGTGATATGGAAATGAAAACAAAATGACCGGACTCATCACTCTGCCTGGTGTTTATAAACTTAAAAATGAAAATGCTTTGCAGTTATGGAGAAGAGAAGATGACCGCCTTCTCTTTCACATTAGGAGCCGTCACAGGTTGCAGAAGTAACTAGCTTCATGACGCAGGTGGGAGAAGAGCCAGAACGAATGATCAGGTAGAGCTTGCTAGCGA